AAGACATTTCCGCAGCATTGAATGTCCCCAAGAACACGGTGGCCTCCATCATTCTTAAATGGAAGAAGTTTGGAACCAACAAAAATCTTCCTAGTGCTGGCCGCCTGGCCAAACTGAGCCATCGGGGGAGAAGGGCCTTGGTCAGGGAGGTGACCAAGAACCTGATGGTCACTTGGTCACCTCCCTGATTCACGCAATCTTCTCTGAACAGTTGATGTTGAGATGTGTCTGTTACTTGAACTCTGTGAAACATTTATATGGGCTGAAATCTGATGTGCAGTTAACTCTAATGAACTTTCTCCTCTGCAGCAGAGGTAACTCTGGGTCTTCCTTTCCTGTGGCGGTCCTCATGAGTGCCAGTTTCATCATAGCGCTTGATGGTTTTTGCGTCTGCACTTGAAGAAACTTTCAAAGTTCTTGACATTTTCCGTATTGACTGACCTTCGTATTGACTGACTGTCGTTTCTCTTTGCTTATTTGAGCTGTTCTTGACATAATATGGACTTGGTCTTTTTTTTGCAAATAGGGCTATCTTCTGTATACCACCCCTACCTTGCACAACACAACTGATTGGCTCAAACAAATTAAGAAGGAAAGAAATTCCACAAATTAACTTTTAACAAGGCACACCTGTTAATTGAATTGCATTCCAGGTGTCTACCCCATGAAGCTGGTTGAGAGAATGCCAAGAGTGTGCAAAGCTGTCATCAAGGCAAAGGGTGGCTTCTTTAAAGAATCTTAAATATCAAATATATTTTTGGTTACTACATGATTCCATATGTGTTATTCCATAGTTTTGATGTCTTCACTATTATTCTACAATGTAGAAAATAGTAAAAAATAAAGAAAAACCCTTGAGTGACTAGGTGTTCTAAAACTTGTGGTGACTAGGTGTTCTAAATTTTTTTTGACAATAAAAAAAAAAAGGTATAATCTTTGTAAATGATATCATCGGTAGGACTGGTGGAGTTATTTCACACATGCAGCTAACAAAAACATATGGAAATGTCTGCTCTACCCAAAATTACAACCAAATAATTGCAGCCTTACCGCAAAAATGGAAGAGAAAAGTGGAAGGAGGAGAAAGTAAGGAACTTGTCTGTTGGCCTTGCATTAAAGAACATAATTGGTTAAGGAAAACTGTGATAAATAAAAAGGTATATCAGTTTCATTTAAGGACTAAAGGATTGACAGCCGTCCCATATAGATTGCAAAATAGTTGGGAAGAGATTTTTGACGTACCGATCCCATGGCATAGTGTTTATGAACTGATATGCAAAACGACACCGGATTCAAAACTTAGAATCTTTCAATTTAAATTATTATATACAATTCTTGCTACCAATAGAATGTTATTTATATGGGGGATACAATCTTCCCAGCTCTGCAGATTTTGCTGCGAAGAGACAGAATCATTCGATCATTTGTTTTGGTACTGTCCATTTGTAGCTTGTTTTTGGACACAGGTCCAGGAATGGCTAAAGGATTGCAATATTTACCTGGAGCTAACCCTGCAGATAGCACTACTGGATGATCTGAAAAGTCATAGTCAATCGATCAATAACATAATAATACTATTAGCAAAAATGTTTATTTTCAATTCACAATCTGTAGAAACAATGAGAATAGAAAGGTTCAGAACTTTTGTAAGACATCACAGTACAGTTGAAATATATATGGCAAATATAAATCCTATATGGATGGTGTTAAAAGATAGATGGGAGGTGTTGAATGGAATTGAAGGATGGGACTAATAACAACTAACAACAAACAATAACAAGATAACTAATAATGTAGGCACGCTGTGTCCATAATAAGTGTATGGGTTGTAGGTTGGGAGCTTTTGTGAAGGAGCACAGTTAGAAAGATATGGCATATAGAAGCAAACCGGATGGACATCATGAAAATGATGTATATATATGTATATGTATGTATGTGTGTATGTATGTATGTATATATATATATATATATATATATATATATATATATATATATATATATACAGTGGGGGAAAAAAGTATTTAGTCAGCCACCAATTGTGCAAGTTCTCCCACTTAAAAAGGTGAGCGAGGCCTGTAATTTTCATCATAGGTACACGTCAACTATGACAGACAAAATGAGAAGAAAAAAATCCAGAAAATCACATTGTAGGATTTTTTATGAATTTATTTGCAAATTATGGTGGGAAATAAGTATTTGGTTAATAACAAAAGTTTCTCAATAATTTGTTATATACCCTTTGTTGGCAATGACACAGGTCAAACGTTTTCTGTAAGTCTTCACAAGGTTTTCACACACTGTTGCTGGTATTTTGGCCCATTCCTCCATGCAGATCTCCTCTAGAGCAGTGATGTTTTGGGGCTGTCGCAGGGCAACACGGACTTTCAACTCCCTCCAAAGATTTTCTATGGGGTTGAGATCTGGAGACTGGCTAGGCCACTCCAGGACCTTGAAATGCTTCTTACGAAGCCACTCCTTCGTTGCCAGGGCAGTGTGTTTGGGATCATTGTCATGCTGAAAGACCCAGCCACGTTTCATCTTCAATGCCCTTGCTGATGGAAGGAGGTTTTTGCTCAAAATCTCACGATACATGGCCCCATTCATTCTTTCCTTTACACGGATCAGTCGTTCTGGTCCCTTTGCAGAAAAACAGCCCCAAAGCATGATGTTTCCACCCCCATGCTTCACAGTAGGTATGGTGTTCTTTGGATGCAACTCAGCATTCTTTGTCCTCCAAACACGACGAGTTGAGTTTTTACCAAAAAGTTCTATTTTGGTTTCATCTGACCATATGACATTCTCCCAATCCTCTTCTGGATCATCCAAATGCACTCTAGCAAACTTCAGACGGGCCTGGACATGTACTGGCTTAAGCAGGGGGACACGTCTGGCACTGCAGGATTTGAGTCCCTGGCGGCGTAGTGTGTTACTGATGGTAGGCTTTGTTACTTTGGTCCCAGCTCTCTGCCGGTCATTCACTAGGTCCCCCGTGTGGTTCTGGGATTTTTGCTCACCGTTCTTGTGATCAGTTTGACCCCACGGGGTGAGATCTTGCGTGGAGCCCCAGATCGAGGGAGATTATCAGTGGTCTTGTATGTCTTCCATTTCCTAATAATTGCTCCCAGAGTTGATTTCTTCAAACCAAGCTGCTTACCTATTGCAGATTCAGTCTTCCCAGCCTGGTGCAGGTCTACAATTTAGTTTCTGGTGTCCTTTGACATCTCTTTGGTCTTGGCCACAGTGGAGTTTGGAGTGTGACTGTTTGAGGTTGTTTGAATCTTTCTGATTGAGAGGGGGTCAAATACTTATTTCCCTCATTAAAATGCAAATCAATTGATAACATTTTTGACATGCGTTTTTCAGGATTTTTTTGTTGTTATTCTGTCTCTCACTGTTCAAATAAACCTACCATTAAAATTATAGACTGATCAATTCTTTGTCAGTGGGAAAACGTACAAAATAAGCAGGTGATCAATTACTTTTTTCCCTCACTGTATATGTTATTTCATAGTTTTGATGTCTTCACTATTATTCTACAATGTAGAAAATAGTAAAAAATAAAGAAAAACCCTTGAGTGACTAGGTGTTCTAAAACTTTTGACCGGTAGTGTAGTATAACATTCTGACATCTTTTATCACTCTACCCTAGTTGTCAAAAGAAGACATTGCATCTACTAAAATGTCTTGTCCAATTACATAGAATTATTCTCTTTCCTTTTATTAATACTTATAGGAATGTCTGAAGAGAAAAACAAAACCATAGTCAATACACATTAGCTCAAGTCAGACCTAACTGCACTAACAACGTGCATATTGCAAGAGCAGCAACACTCTGTCCAAAGCCATGTGTTAACGGATGTGTTTAGGGGGAACCCTATTGCCAGGTATAAAACTAACACAGCAACACTCTCTGTCATCTCTCTCTGCCTGCCTGTGCAGATCCAAGCTCAGGTCCTGTGCACTCTATCTAACTGTATGAAACAAGAAGACAACCCCTCTCCAAAAGGTTAACAGCACTTTTTTCTGGGTATTTAAGTATTTTCAAATGCACAGCCCAAAACAATTACTTTTATTTGAGTATTTGAATGGTTACTTGTAAAAAACAAATTGTTGGCCAAAGTTAAGAGGATTTTAAAATACTTATTTCAAATACTATATTCAAGTACCTGGGTAAACACATGGGAGTGTATTTGAGTCAGTGTATTTACAATTTTCAAATACTTTCCAAGTGTATTTCCAAATACATTAAAATGTTCAACTACTTGTCTTTTCAAATAAAAGATATCTGAATACTTACTTCGAATGTACAGTATGTGAAAGTCATTGAGATATTTGAAATAGTATTTGAACCCAGGTCTGATTGTCACTTCTCTTCTCATGACTGGAACACTACGTAGTTCAGCGGGTACCCTCCGGGAATAGTTTTTAAAAAATGAAAATGGCTAGTCATAGCTGAAGGTAATGTTTTTGTGTAAAATGTGCGTTCTGAATATATTGGTAATTCACCCACCGTAGTATACAACCACTGCAGTTATGCTGGACATCATGAATTCCACATGAAAAGATTAGAGCCGCTTCACATAGTTTCCAGGAAAGGTTCCAAAAAACTTGTTTCTTCTGGATGTGCCTTGAAAAATAAGAAACATATAATGGTATTAAAGCAAATATTATGTCAATGATGTTGTTTGTTGCAAGCATTTTGAGTGGGGTATGAGGTTGAGGTTTGGTTTCATCGGACAATGACTGAGGATACGTGCCAATTGACACATCTAAATAAAGGACAACTTCCATAGAGGACTGATTTGTTTACTGAGTCTCAATTCAAGCCAAGGGACCTCATCTGTTGGCAGCAGCTTAGTAGTACAAATTCAAAATTATCTGAACGATTGGCAGAACAGGGGTGGATAATGGACATGCAGAGAGCCCCTACAAAGGAATTATTGTACATTTAATGTCTTTATCTTTTTGATAGAGGGAATAAATACAATGTCGGACTTACCTACAAACCAGCCATCGTCACACCTCTCCATCACATCAACAACGTCTCCTTCCTTGAGCTCCAACTCATCCTCATTACGAGGAGCATAGTTATACAGGACCTGGAACCTACATAACTCTAATCAGTGAGGACTATACAGTCACATCATCAGATTCATTTACACATCCTTACTACTTACTACAAATTAGACACTTTGAATCAGACAGCTTTAAAGCTTTACGTAGCTTTAATGGTCAAGTTGGGAAAACAAATTGTCATGGAAATAGGAGATAGACTTACGGTTCTCCACCACAATTCAGGGCATTTTGGGTAAATGCTGGCCGCTGAGAAGAGAAAGAGAGAAGAGAGATGCAGTGATATACAGTAGGCATGTCATGTTTGTATCTGTCTTCTTCTCCCTCTGTAGTATGTTTTACCACCATCAGCATCCATCACTGTAGCAACAATGTGCCAGAGCTTACGCAACACCATCTTTGCTTTAATGTGCAACAAAGATGCTACAACCACAATGCTGACAAGGAGCTGAAGGGAATTTGGGGGCTAAGGCTGCCTTTCTGGCTATGGGAGGTACACAGTGTTTATGCTGTGTACACAGGAAACAGTATTCAACATCCCTCAGAGCAAGAGACAGAATAGAAAGACAAAGACCAACCAAGCATTTTAGATCCTACCATTCATTCCTAACATCCACATATACTATTCCACAGCACACAAGCCTAATCCCAGATCTGGTTGTGCTCTTGCCAACTACATTGCTCAATGGCAAGACAATGAGTGACAATGAGTTGTCATGATAGCACAAACAGACTGGCACTCAGGCTAACACAAGCCATCCTAGCAAGCAGTAAGTCCACAATGATTGACTGTTTTCCTCATACACTAACAGGTTTGGCAGACAATTCTGAGTCAAAAGGGGGAGTCCATTCCATTCTTATGAATTCAACTGTCAGTCGGTCAATGGGTCATGCAGCAAAACCACAGACGATGCACCAGACACTATGTCTGCATCCCAAAAGGCACCCTATTCCCTATATGTACTGTAGTGCACTACCTTTGACAAGGGCCCATAGGGCTGGTCAAAAGTACTGCACTATATAAGGAATAGGGTGTCATTTGGGACACAAACCTTTGCCACAGGGAAAAAGGTACCAATCTACCCACACAATGCCAAGCTGCAACGCACACTGGACAGACTGTCAGGCATTTAAGTTGAAGTTATCCCTATGGTGTTTGTTGACATGATTAGCATGGTTCTGTTTACAGCGGGCCATTCTTAACATATCTATCGGCTCCTAGATATTCATTTCTTTTTTAGAGGTTGTATTTTTACTGACCATACAGTGCATTCGTAAAGTATTCGGACCCCTGGACTTTTTCCACATTTTGTTACGTTACAGCCTTATTCTAAAATTGATTAAATTGTTTTTCTACCTCTTCAATCTATACACAATACCCCATAATGACAGATCAAAAACAGGTTTTTAGAAAATGTTGCCAATGTATTGAAAATAAAAAACTGATATCACATTTACATAAGTATTCAGACCCTTTACTCAGTACTTTGTTGAAGCACCTTTGGCAGTGATTACAGCCTTGAGTCTTCTTGGGTATGACGCTACAAGCTTGGCACACCTGTATTTGGGGAGTTTATCCCATTCTTCTCTGCAGATCCTCTCATGCTCATACTCTGTCAGGTTGGATGGGGAGCGTCGCTGCACAGCTATTTTCAGGTCTCTCCAGAGATGTTCAATTGGGGCCACTCAAGGACATTCAGAGACTTGTCCCGAAGCCACTCCTGCGTTGTCTTGGCTGTGTGCTTAGGGTCGTTTTCCTGTTGGAAGGTGAACCTTCGCCCTAGTCTGAGATCCTGAGCTCTCCAGAGCAGGTTTTCATCAAGAATCTCTCTGTACTTTGCTCCATTCATCCCTCGATCCTGACTAGTCTCCCAATCCTTGCCACTGAAAAGCATCCCCACAGCATGATGCTGCCACCACCATCCTTCACCGTAGGGATGGTATTGGCCAGGTGATGACCGGTGCCTGGTTTCTTCCAGACGTGACGCTTGGCATTCAGGCCAAAGAGTTCAATCTTGGTTTCATCAGACCAGAGAATCTTGTTTCTCATGGTCTGAGAGTCCTTTAGGTGCCATTTGGCAAACTCCAAGTGGGCTGTCATTTGCCTTTTACTGAGGAGTGGCTTCTGTCTGACCACTCTACCATAAAGGCCTGATTGGTGGAGTGCTGCAGAGATGGTTGTCCTTCTTGAAGGTTCTCCCATCTCCACAGAGGAACTCTGGAGCTCTGTCAGAGTGACCATCAGGTTCTTGATCACCTCCCTGATCAAGGCCTTTCTCCCATGATTGCTCAGATTGGCTGGGCGGCCAGCTCTAGGAAGAGTCTTGGGGTTCCAAACTTCTTCCATTTAAGTATGATGGAAGCCACTGTGTTCTTGGGGACCTTCAATGCTGCAGAAATGTGTTGGTACCCTTCTCCAGATCTGTGCCTCGACACAATCCTGTCGTGGAGCACTACAGACAATTCTTTCGACCTCAAGGCTTGGTTTTGGCTCTGACATGCACTGTCAACTGTGGGACCTTATGTAGACAGGTGTGTGCCTTTCCATGTTAAATCAATTGAATTGACCACAGGTGTACTCCAATTTCGAGTCCCATAGCAAAGGGTCTGAATACTTATGTAAATAAGGTATTTATGTTTTATTTTTAATAATTTTGAAAACATTGCTAAAAACCTGTTTTCACTTTGTCATTATGGGGTATTGTGTGTAGATTGATGAGGATTTGTATTGATTTAATCTATTTTAGAATAAGGCTGTAATGTAACAAAATGTGGAAAAAGTCAAGGGGTTCTGAATACTTTCCTTGCAAAAGTATTCATCCCCCTTGGTGTTTTCCTATTTTGTTGCATTACAACCTGTAATTTAAAGGGATTTTTTTTGGGATTTCATGTAATGGACATACACAAAATAGTCCAAATTGGTGAAGTGAAATTAAAATGAATAACTTGTTTCAACAAATTATAGAAAATAAATAAAGGAAATGTGGTGCGTGCATATGTATTCACCCCCTTTGCTATTAAGCCCCTAAATAAGATCTGGTGCAACCAATTACCTTCAGAAGTCACATAATTAGTTAAATAAAGTCCACCTGTGTGCAATCTAAGTGTCACATGATCTGTCACATGATCTCAGTATATATAAACCTGTTCTGAAAGGACCCAGAGTCTGCAACACCGCTAAGCAAGGGGCACCACCAAGCAAGCAGCACCATGAAGACCAAGGAGCTCTCCAAACAGGTCAAGGACAAAGTTGTGGAGAAGTACAGATCAGGGTTGGGTTATAAAAATATCAGAAACTTTGAACATCTCACAGAGCACCATTAAATCCATTATTAAAAAATGGAAATAATATGGCACCACAACAAACCTGCCAAGAGAGGGCCGCCCACCAAAACCCACAGACCAGGCAAGTAGGACATTAATCAGAGAGGCAACAAAGAGACCAAAGATGAACCTGAAGGAGCTGCAAAGCTCCACAGCGGAGATTGGAGTTTCTGTCCATATGACCACTTTAAGCCATACACTCCACAGAGCTGGGCTTTACGGTTTAGTGGCCAGAAAATAGCCAATGCTTAAAGAAAAAAATAAGCTACCATGTTTGGTGTTCGCCAAAACCATGTGGGAGACTCCCCAAACATATGGAACTAAAATTGAGCTTTTTGGCCATCAAGGAAAACACTATGTCTGGCGCAAACCCAACACCTCTCATCACCCCGAAGAACACAATCCCCACAGTGAAGCATGGTGGTGGCAGCATCATGCTGTGGGGAATACAGGGAAATTCTTGAGGGAAACCTGTTTCAGTCTTCTAGAGATGTGAGACTGGGACGGAGGTTCACCTTACAGCAGGACAATGACCCTAAGCATACTGCTAAAGCAACACTTGAGTGGTTTAAGGGGAAACATTTAAATATCTTGGAATGGCCTAGTCGAAGCACAGACCTCAATCCAATTGAGAATCTGTGGTACGACTTAAAGATTGCTGTACATCAGCAGAACCAATCCAACTTGAAGGAGCTGGAGCAGTTTTGCCTTGAAGAATGGGCAAGACTCCCAGTGGCTAGATGTGCCAAGCTTATGGAGATATACCCCAAGAGACTTGTAGCTGTAATTGCTGCAAAAGGTGGCTCTACAAAGTATTGACTTTGGGGGGGTGAATAGTTATGCACGCTCCAGTTTTCTTTTTTTTGGTCTTATTTCTTGTTTGTTTCACAATAAAAAATATTTTGCATCTTCAAAGTGGTAGGCATGTTGTGTAAATCAAATGATACAAAACCCCCAAAAATCAATTTTAATTCCAGGTTGTAAGGCAATAAAATAGGAAAAATGCCAAGGGGGTTGAATACTTTCGCAAGCCACTGTATGTATGAGAGTTTGTATATATGTGGTAGCTATGTTTCAGAAATATGGACTCAGGGATACATGATCTTCTAAGAGAGAACTCAGTTTCATAGTACTCCAAATGTACGATGATATCACACAAAGTGCATAGCGGGTAGCAGCCCTACCCTATGAGATGGTGAATAGCTCTGGACTCTATTGGGCGATCCACAGGACCTCCTAGACATCACAGGGCTACGAGGGGGTTTACCCACAATAACAACTTCACGCTTTACAGGCTGAAAGAACCAGAACCAGGGGATACAATCAGAAGAGTACTCACACATACACTCTCATCACACTGATCACGCACATGCATATGCGCACGCGCACGCGCATGCGCACGCACACACACATACACACACACACACACACACACACACACACACACACACACACACACACACACACACACACACACACACACACACACACAGAGGCTGACAAACAAACACTCACAGAAAAGGACATAGCAGGGGATTACCAGGCAACAACTGGGGAACCAAATCTGGCATCAAAGTTGAGACTATTTCTATTATATTACAGTTGAAGTCAGAAGTTTACATACACTTAGGTTGGAGTCATTAAAACTCATTTTTCAACCACTCCACAAATTTCTTGTTAACAAACTATAGTAATTTTTCCAACAATTGTTTATTTCACTTATAATTGACTGTATCACAATTCCAGTGGGTCAGAAGTTTACATACACTAAGTTGACTGTGCCTTTAAACAGCTTGGAAAATTCCAGAAAATGATGTAGCTAATAGGCTAATAGGCTAATTGACATCATTTGAGTCAATTGAAGGTGTACCTGTGGATGAATTTCAAGACCTACCTTCAAACTCAGTGCCTCTTTGCTTGACATCATGGGAAAATCAAAAGAAATCATCCAAGACGTCAGAAAAACAATTGTAGACCTCCACAAGTCTGGTTCATCCTTGGGAGCAATTTCCAAACGCCTGAAGGTACCACTTTCATCTGTACAATCAATAGTACGCAAGTATAAACACCATGGGACCACACAGCCGTCATACCGCTCAGGAAGGAGACGCGTTCTGTCTCTTAGAGATGAACGTACTTTGGTGCGAAAAGTGCAAATCAATCCCAGAACAACAGCAAAGGACCTTGTGAAGATGCTGGAGGAAACAGGTGCAAAAGTATCTATATCCACAGTAAAACGAGTCCTATATCGACATAACCTGAAAGGCTGCTCATCAAGGAAGAAGCCACTGCTCCAAACCGCCATAAAAAAGCCAGACTACGGTTTGCAACTGCACATGGGGACAAAGATCGTACTTTTTGGAGAAATGTCCTCTGGTCTGATGAAACAAAAATAGAACTGTTTGGCCATAATGACCATCGTTATGTTTGGAGGAAAAAGGGGACTCTTGCAAGCCGACGAACACCATCCCAACCGTGAAGCACGGGGTGGCAGCAGCATGCTGTGAGGGTGCTTTGCTGCAGGAGGGACTGGTGCATTTCACAAAATAGATGGCATCATGAGGAAGGAAAAGTATGTGGATATATTGAAGCAACATCTCAAGACATCAGTCAGGAAGTTAAAGCTTGGTCGCAAATGGGTCTTCCAAATGGACAATGACCCCAAGCATACTTCCAAAGTTGTGGCAAAATGGCTTAAGGACAACAATGTCAAGGTATTGGAGTGGCCATCACAAAGCCCTGACCTCAATCCTATAGAAAAAGCGTGTGCGAGCAAGGAGGCCTACAAACCTGACTCCGTTACACCAGCTCTGTCAGGCGGAATGGGCCAAAATTCACCCAACTTATTGTGGGAAGCTTGTGGAAGGCTACCCGAAACATTTGACCCAAGTTAAACAATTTAAAGGCAATGCTACCAAATACTAATTGAGTGTATGTAAACTTCTGACCCACTGGGAATGTGATGAAAGAAATAAAAGCTGAAATAAATCATTCTCTCTACTATTATTCTGACATTTCACATTCTTATAATAAGGTGGTGATCCTAACTGACCTAAAACAGGGAAATCTTACTATGATTAAATGTCAGGAATTGTAAAAATCTGAGTTTAAATGTAATTGGCTAAGGTGTATGTAAACTTCCGACTTCAACTGTATATTGGGTGTTAAAGCAGATCACATCTATCTTACTGTGTAACTGATACGTTTTAAATGTAATCATCTACAGTATATTTGGTGTTCTCTGTCTCCCAGCTCTGAGTAAAGCAGCAGTATGTTTAGGCCGTCTGCCAGGGCTGAGACAGGAAAGCTTATAAAGGTCGTTTAGGGACAGTAAGAGTCAAATCTCTGCTAGGAGGAAACTGGCATGAGACCAGGAGACAAGTGTAAATAACAGAGTCCAAGTATACGAGGATCTCTGGGAGCCATGTTACTTATCAAGACTACATCTGATTAATGATCTGTTTTCAAACATACAGTGATTCATTTATCTAGACTAAGCACATTACAATAGTACTGTAGCATAATGCTGTATCTACGAACCAACCAATAGCAGTACTGACAAAAGAAGACAGTGTGAAGTAAAGTGAACTAAATCCTAAAGACAGTAACAGGTTAGTCCACAGAAAATAGGGTAAAGTAAGGTTTAAAGGAGTAGTCAGTAGTTATAACAGTCTGTTATTGTTAAAGAGGAGAATTGGGGGAAGGGGAGGGGTTAGTTGTCACAACATGATGTCACACAGGCACCTTTCCACTGGGCAGAAACTGAATCAACATTGCTTCCACGTCATTTCAACCCCCACAATCAATGTGATGATGTTGAATCAACGTGGAAAACTAATTGGATTTGCAAAAAGTCATCAAGGGCATTTCGTCTTTTTTTCAGGCAACTTTTAACCTAAATCTAAAGACTGTGAAATGTTTTGTTAATATTACGTTGAATTCACGTTAGTTGATAACTCAACCAAATGTAAATCAAAACTAGACTTTGAACTGACATCTGTGCCCAGTGGGTTATCTTTACCTTGACATTGGGGGACCTAGGCTCCAGGCGGGGGTATTGTTTGTTGTAGGGAGGGGGAGAGTGTGCCATCCACAGCAGTGGAGGGGTGGTGCAGGGGGAGACGAGGGGAGACAAGGGTTTGGGCGAGGTGGACGACGTGGGGAGGGTGGAGGTGGTGAACTGCTGGGGGGGGACGGGAGGAGAGGCGCACAGAGGCCCCATGAGAAACATCGGCCTGGTGACAGAGACCAAAAGAAAAAGTGTGTTACAGGCTACGCAGACACACAGAAGACACACACACAAACACCATCTTATTTGTTATTTGCTGTCCCGCTGTTTGAAGTCAAACCTTTAAAAAATAAGAAATGCAGAACAAAGCACACCTACTTGAAATAAGGCTTTGAATAAATAATCTGAGGCAAACAAACCAGACATAATAATCTGGATAACCAGACAAACAATAATCTGTTTGTTGTAACAAATGTGGCTACACTAGGGCTCTTTGGAAAAAAGTTCAAATTTAAAATAATTAATGTAGGGTTAGTGGAAGCAAGCATGTTTTACCAGCAGAGTTAGGTTAGGACACACGGGTCACACCAGACATACGGTACATCACACTGGGAGGGCTTTACCTTGCCCTGTTCTGCCCAGTCTCTACACACAGTGGTAAAAGTATTATAAGGTGGGGCCATCTTCCTGCTCTCAACAGGCTCCTCCTCTATGAAGGGCTTGGGTAGCTCCTCCTCTGGCACTTGTCTGTAAAACACTTCCCCCTGGGAAGAACAGTCCCCCTTAGATTGGTCGCCCCCGGAATGATGGACACCAGCTCCTCACAGAGGTCATCTTCCTGTTCCTGGTCCACTTCCTGGTCTTTAGTGGAGTCCTCCATAAACGGATTCATCTCTTTAACGGAGAGGCTGTCCTCCATAGAGATAAACTGATTAAGCTCTATTTTGTTTTTGCGTTGAGAAAGGTGGTCGGTGTGAGCAGGGTGGTCACTTTGAGACAGGGGGTAGCTTTGAATTGGGTGGTCACTGTGAGAGGTGCAGTCGCTGGGCTTGTACACCAACTGATTGATGGGACTGCAGATCTTTGGGGAGTAGGGCGACAGGGCCATTGGGTTTGGGTCTGAGAGTCGACAAAACTGTTTCTCCACTGGATTGTCTGAGAGGGGGTACAACTGTTTCTCCTGTTGTGAGTCTATAATGGGCTTGATACTGGTGTTGTTCTGAATCTGAGACAAGTCGACCACGCTGCCATACTTGGGACTTCCAAACATGGGAGAGGTGCCATTGGGTTTGGGTGTCCTCCTCAATGAGTTGAAGGAGATGCTGCCAGATGTGGTGTGGCGGGAGGGCAGCAGGGATGGGCTGGGTTCTGGGGAGCAGGGGTATGTGGGAGTCTTTGGAGAGATGATGGGGATGAAGTGGCCCTCTCTGAGGAAAGGGGTGAGGTTGCGTGATGTTGAGGGGACGGTCCCCAGGGTGGGTGCTGGGGAGGTGGATACCAGGTGGAGGCTGGGGGCTGGATAGGGGGAGGAGGACACAATGGTGCTGAGGGCCTCCAGGTCAGCTAGCAGGCTGCTGTTAGGGTAAGGGGGAGGAGTGGGGGCCGGAGTGATGGAAGGAGGCAGGCCCAGGATCAGGTTGATCCAATCATTGGTGATGGCCTGCAGGTGGGTGCTGTGGGAGGGGGATGGGGACAGGGAGGAGCGAGGTTTCCTGAAGGAGGGGGAGGGCGAAGGAGAACTGAAGCGAAGGTGAGTGGATGAAAGCTTGGGAGAGAAAGAGAGAGACAGTACAGAAACATATGGCTGAATAGAAACTGAGGGGAATGGCCAGGTGAGAAATGTATAGGTTAGAGACGATTGTCGTTTCTTAAATTGACACATAAAGAGATGGGTGCTAAAGATACAACGGTGTCACAGCCAGAGGCTTTACCTGGTATACAGTGTGACTAAACTAACACAGCCAAAACAAGTGCTAGCTAGCCTGCCCTGTTGTCGCCAAGTCTGTGGATGAAGTGTGAAATGTGAACTGGGCCTGGCACATCTCATTAGAGCAGCAGCAGCTGGTAGCTTGCCCACCCACAGAGGTCTCTATTAGGCACGTTAATGGAAACCAAGGCTTCCACAATGAATGTCATAGAACATTTTAGAACAATGCTTGTTCTTCTTGCTTGCCATCCCAAATACCCCCGCTCAACATATGGCCTGCCCTTGGAAACACACAGTACCAGTCAAAAGTTTGGACACATTACTCTTTCAAGGGTTTTCATTTATTTGTACTCTTTTCTACATTGTAGAATAATAGTGAAGACATGTCAACCAGCTTCACCTGGAATGCTTTTCCAAAAGTCTTGAAGGAGTTCCCACATATGCTGAGCACTTGTTGGCTGCTTTTCCTTCACTCTGCCGTCCAACTCATCCCAAACCATCTCAATTGGGTTGAGGTCGGGGGATTGTGGAGGCCAGGTCATCTGATGCAGCACTCCATCTCTCTCCTTCTTGGTAAAATAGCCCTTACACAGCCTGGAGGTGTGTTGGGTCATTGTCCTGTTAAAAAAACAAATGACAATCACACTAAGCCCAAACCAAATGGGATGGCATATCGCAGCAGAATGCTGTGGTAGCCATGCTGGTTAAGTGTGCTTTGAATTCTAAATAAATCACAGATAGTGTCACCAGCAAAGCACCCCCACACCATAACACCTCCTCCTTCATGCTTTATAGTGGGAAATACACATGCGGAGATCATCCGTTCACCCACACCGTGTCTCACAAAGTAACAGGGCGGTTGGAACCAAAAATCTTCCAATTTGGACTCCAGGCCAAAGGACACATTTCCACCGGTCTAATGTTCATTGCTCGTGTTTCTTGGCCCAAGCAGGTCTCTTCTTCTTATTGGTGTCCTTTAGTAGTGGTTTCTTTGCAGGAAAATCAACCATGAAGGCCTGATTCACACAGTCCCCTCTGAACAGTTGATGTTGAGATGTGTCTGTGAGTTGAACTCTGTGAAGCATTTATTTGGGCTGCATTTTCTGAGGCTGGTAACTCTAATGAACTTATCCTCTGCAGCAGAGGTAACTCTGGGTCTTCCATTCCTGTGGCGGTCCTCATGAGAGCCAGTTTCATCATAGCGCTGGATGGTTTTTGCGACTGCACTTGAAGAAACGTTCAAAATTCTTGAAATGTTCCGTATTGACTGACCTTCATGTCTTAAAGTGATGATGGACTGTCATTTCTCTTTGCTTATTTGAGCTGTTCTTGCCATAATATGGACTTGGTCTTTTGCCAAATAGGGCTATCTTCTGTATACCACCCCTACCTTGTCACAACACAACTGATTGGCTCAGACGCATTAAGAAGGAAAGAAATTCCACAAATTAACTTTTAAGAAGGAACACCTGTTAATTGAAATGCATTCCAGGTGACTACCTTATGAAGCTGGTTGAGAGAATACCAAGAGTGTGCATGCTGTCATCAAGGCAAAGGGTGGCTATCTCAAATATAAAATAAATGTTGATTTGTTTAACACTTTTTTGGTTACTACATGATTCCATATGTGTTATTTCATAGTTTTGATGTCTTCACTATTATTCTACAATGTAAAAAATAGTAAAAATAAAGAAAAACCCTGGAATGAGTAGGTGTGTCCAACATTTTGACTGGTAGTGTAGATAAACTCTTAGGAAGTCACTGTGTGTGTACTGTGTATGTAATGTGTGTGTAGTGTGTACTGTGTGGGTTTGTCCAGGCTTGAGTTAGACTAAACCATACCGATTGGTGGCTGGTGTAAGAAACCCGATTTAACCAAAGCCCATGGTTTACCCATGCTCATGTGAGAGAGGGATCAGGCCTTAAAATGGAATTACATCTCAAGGGCAATTCAGTTTATCTCCCTGGCAGGCAAAGCTGTAACTGTGGCTAATCTAGAGAAGACATGAGCTTGAGGGCCTTTTGTTGTCTCTGGCACAGATTCAACAGAGATAGGGCTAATCCCATAGACAGACCAATTCTGTCCTAAGCGTTTCCTATTGTCACGCTAGGAGAGCTCCCCAATGCAATATAAGCATAACTGGACAGCCGAGAAGAACAACCATAGTTCAAAAAAGTTCTAACTTTGACAAAGTACTCTACTACACTTATTCAAAGCCAATCACTTCCTAAAAGACATATACAGTATATTAATTCATAAAACGGTAGATTGTAAATGCCAGGTGGACATATTGTGTGCCTCCCAAATGGCACTACTGGGAAAAAGTAATGCACTATACAGTGAATAGGGTGCTATTTGGGGTGCAGCCATGGTCTAGTAGTCAGGGGGTCATGTTATTTGGGGTCATCTTACCTTGGCCAAGCCCACAGGGTTTATCCTGTCAGCGGATAGGCTCTGAGGTAAAGAGGAAGGTTCTGGGTAGTGGTGGGTGGGGTTCTTGGCGGCGGGGGACTTCTCGACGTAGGACATGGGGAAGATGCCCTGCTTGTTGCTCTCTGGGATCTTCCCCTCATACCAGTTCTGGTCCACCTGCCTCAGCAGAATCACCCTCTCACCCTGTCATACACACACAGGCAGACACACAAAGGTAGAAATCTGTTTAATTCTAGACACTGAGGGGATGGGAATTATATACAACCCACTAGGCACACACTGGTTGAATCAACATTGTTCCCACGTCATTTCATTGAAATTACACTGAACCAACGTAGAATAGACATTTAATTGATGTCTGTGCCCAGTGGGAAAGTCTCACTATTTGACAGTCAAAGTTATGCAGCGACAACGGAGAGACTCTTGCCTTTTTCAGTGAGAGCTCCACATTGGTGTCAGCATTGAAGTTGTAGCGAGCCACTGCTTCACCAATCTCTCTGACCTGGGCTGGCGTGGGAAGTCTGGCTGGCTGGTGCTTCTTAAAGACAGGGATTTTCTAAAGAAAAAGAGAGAAAGATGGGCTGTGGGATTAGGATAAGGGACAAATATAAACTCAAAGTTATTCAATACTGTGCATTGAAAACTCACATTGAGACAGCCAGTAGAAGCGAGAGGAGAGAAAAGAGGAAGAGATGAGAATGAAAGAGGAGAGATGAGAGGGCCGACATTAACCTCCACATAGGAGATGGGGAAGATCCCAACCAGTCCATGGTGCTCTCCTTCATACCAGTTGTTGTCGATCGGTCTGATGATGTACACCATCTCCCCCTTCCTGAATGTCAGCTCCCTGCACAACACCTCGACCATTAGCATCATGTCTGAGGAATGTGTCATTGTTGTATTCATCTGAAATATTCATTTTGTATTGCATTTGATCTATACTTACTTCACCGTCTGTGCCTTGAAGTCATATACGGCTCTGGCTGACTGTTCCTGTTGAGGGCATGGAAAGGAACAATCAATCATGACATCTATCAGTGGTTCAGCGCAATTGTACAGTACAAGTGTTGAATATAATCAGAGACCAAATACACATGTTGTTGGCTTTACCTCTCTGACATCAGGGGTGTGGCGGCTCCCATCAGTGTAGGAGTGACTCCTGGAGGGTTCCTGGTCTGTGAGAGGGAGAGAGGGCCACAGTGAGTAACAGAGAGGAACAGTCCTTACAGACACTAAACGTGCAAAGGAGGAGTCAGTGGCAAGGGGATGAGAGGAACAACAGGAGGTCTCATAACAAAATAATTTATACTGAACAAAAATATAAACGCAACATGTAAAGTGTTGGTCCCTTTTTTCATGAGCTGAAATGTTCCATATGCACAAAAAACATATTTCTCTCAAATGTTGTGCAGAAATGTGTTTACCTCCCTTGTTAGTGAGCATTACTCCTTTGCCAAGATAATCCATCCACCTGACAGGTGTGACATATCAAGAAGCTGATTAAACAGCATGATCATTACACAGGTGCACCTTGTGCTGGGGACAATAAAAGGCCACTCTAAAATGTGCAGTTTTGTCACACAACACAATGCAACAGATGTCTCAAGTTTTGAGGGAGCGTGCAATTGGCATGCTGACTGCAGGAATGTCCACCAGAGCTGTTGCCAGAGAATTGAATGTTAATTTCTCTACCATAAGCCGCCTCCAATGTTGTTTTCGAGAATTTGGCAGTACGTCCAACCGGCCTCGCAACCACAGACCACGTGTAACCATGCGAGCCCAGGACCTCCACATCTGGCTTCTTCACCTGAGACCAGCCACCCGGACAGCTGATGAAACTGAAGAGTATTTCTGTCTGTAATAAAGCCCTTTTGTGGGGAAAAACTAATTCTGATTGGCTGGGCCTGCTCCCCAGTGGGTGGGCCTGGCTCCCAAGTGGGTGGGCCTATGCCCTCCAGGCCCACCAATGGCTGCGCCCCTGCCCAGTCATATGAAATCCATAGATTAGGGCCTAATACATTTATTTAAATTGACTGATTTCCTAATATGTACTGTAACTCAGTAAAATCGTTGAAATTGTTGCATGTTGTGTTTATATTTTTGATCAGTATAGATTAATCAAAAGTAATCATAACCAACAAAAACAACGGATCTAACCTACTGTATGGTATGGGTACAGACTTTAGAAAATATAGAGCCATGTCCTGTTCTATTCTGTATTCCTTACAGTGCTCTTTAAGGTCAGTAGACATGTGTCTACCTATATATGTAAGAAATAGGTTACCATTTGGGACGCAACCCAGGTCCATCACTATGAAGTCATCAGAGGTGAATCCCATACTACATACAGTGGGGAAAATAAGTATTTAGTCAGCCACCAATTGTGCAAGTTCTCCCACTTAAAAAGATGAGAGAGGCCTGTAATTTTCATCATAGGTACACGTCAATTATGACAGACAAATTGAGAATTTTTTTCTCCAGAAAATCACATTGTAGGATTTTTTATGAATTTATTTTCAAATTATGGTGGAAAATAAGTATTTGGTCACCTACAAACAAGCAAGATTTCTGGCTCTCACAGACCTGTAACTTCTTCTTTAAGAGGCTCCTCTGTCCTCCACTCTTTACCTGTATTAATCACACCTGTTTGAACTTGTTATCAGTATAAAATACACCTGTCCACAACCTCAAACAGTCACACTCCAAACTCCACTATGGCCAAGACCAAAGAGCTGTCAAAGGACACCAGAAACAAAATTGTAGACCTGCACCAGGCTGGGAAGACTGAATCTGCAATAGGTAAGCAGCTTGGTTTGAAGAAATCAACTGTGGGAGCAATTATTAGGAAATGGAAGACATATAAGACCACTGATAATCTCCCTCGATCTGGGGCTCCACGCAAGATCTCACCCCGTGGGGTCAAAATGATCACAAGAACGGTGAGCAAAAATCCCAGAACCACACCTAGTGAATGACCTGCAGAGAGCTGGGACCAAAGTAACAAAGCCTACCATCAGTAACACACTACACTGCCAGGGACTCAAATCCTGCAGTGCCAGACGTGTCCCCTGCTTAAGCCAGTACATGTCCAGGCCCGTCTGAAGTTTGCTAGAGTGCATTTGGATTATCCAGAAGAGGATTGGGAGAATGTCATATGGTCAGATGAAACCAAAATAGAACTTTTTGGTAAAAACTCAACTCGTCGTGTTTGGAGGACAAAGAATGCTGAGTTGCATCCAAAGAACACCATACCTACTGTGAAGCATGGGGGTGGAAACATCATGCTTTGGGGCTGTTTTTCTGCAAAGGGACCAGGACGACTGATCCGTGTAAAGGAAAGAATGAATGGGGCCCTGTATCGTGAGATTTTGAGTGAAAACCTCCTTCCATCAGCAAGGGCATTGAAGATGAAACGTGGCTGGGTCTTTCGGCATGACAATGATCCCAAACACACCGCCCGGGCAACGAAGGAGTGGCTTCGTAAGAAGCATTTCAAGGTCCTGGAGTGGCCTAGCCAGTCACCAGATCTCAACCCCATAGAAAATCTTTGGAGGGAGTTGAAAGTCCGTGTTGCCCAGCGACAGCCCCAAAACATCACTGCTCTAGAGGAGATCTGCATGGAGGAATGGGCCAAAATACCAGCAACAGTGTGTGAAAACCTTGTGAAGACTTACAGAAAACATTTGACCTGTGTCATTGCCAACAAAGGGTATATAACAAAGTATTGAGAAACTTTTGATATTGACCAAATACTTATTTTCCACCATAATTTGCAAATAAATTCATAAAAAATCCTACAATGTGATTTTCTGGATTTTTCTTTCTCATTTTGTCTGTCATAGTTGACGTGTACCTATGATGAAAATTACAGGCCTCTCTCATCTTTTTAAGTGGGAGAACTTGCACAATTGGTGGCTGACTAAATACTTTTTCCCCCCACTGTATCCAGTTATGTTGATGCACAGTATTTTCAGTAGCGAGCCTGTCACTTGCACCGTTTGTATTTGTATTTATTATGGATCCCCATTACTCTTCCTGGGGTCCAGCAAAATTAAGGCAGTTATACAATTTTACATTACATTCACAACAGATTTTACAACACATTAAGTGTGTGCCCTCAGGCCCCTACTCTACTACCACATATCTACAACACAAAATCCATCTGTACATGTGTGTATAGTGTGTATGTTATCGTGTATGTGTATGCATGTTTCTGTGCCTGTGTTTGTGTCTCTTCACCGTTCATCTCAATGACTCAAAACCTCCATCGAAACAAGAACATTTATATCCAGCAGGCAGACAGTACAACTAGACACCCAGGATGGAGAACAAGTATTTTTACTACAGTTTAGCTCTGGGTGCTGATGTGGTCTTGGTGGGGACTGCTGCTGGACAATCTCTCTCTGCTTGGGATAGTTTGTTAAGTATACTTGACTCAGTGGTCCTGCAAATGGAGTTTCAATCATCAACCCAACAGCTATTTGATAGACATAATCTGCGCTGTGCCAAGACCACAGACAGGATACAGAGAGAAATAATCCTCCTACGTGCTATAAAGCAGCCACACAGATCGATATATCCATCTCTCCTCTGAGGAAAAACAGATGCACATTGTAGGAGAGGAGTATCTGTCTCTGTCTCTCCCCATACCAACATCCCACAGAACCCTTTTTAGACTGCCCACCTCAGCTGCTCTCAAGTCATGTCCCCTGCTATTTCTAATTAGCAGAATCTTTTAAAAACGAGACACAGACACACGAATGCATCTCTATAGAGTAGAGGGGGAGAGGGGGAGACAGGGTTCCTGTAGTGGGCATGTTTACTGAGCTGTGGACATAAACACTCACGCACGCAAATGCCTAAACACGCACACACACACTCACTCAAACAAATATAGACCTGTATGTATACATAAATGTACTGAATCTGTTAGTCATCCGACATCATACATGCTGAAGAAAACATCAAATAATGATGGCAAAATAACCAACACCAATATGACAAAAAAGTAATAACCTGCAAAGGATGAACACAATACAGAGTTTGGGGAGTTGGATGACTTGCTGGAGGGGAATCATGCATCCCGGACATTCCAGGAGATGGAACCACCGACAGATCACTACTCAAGCACAACTCCCACAAGACATGGGTGGAAAATGGTAGTGGTGCAGGTGACAGGAAAGAACTCAAAACTACACAATGACCAACAGGGTGAGAAAGAGGTGGGTCGGGGAGCATGGGGGGCTGGTGGATGTGTATATGAGGACCATCCACCTTGGTAGAAGTCTTCTTCACAGACATGGCTGTTGTTGTTAGGGTCCATGTGATGGTATGAGGCACTGTGTGAGAGGCGGCTGTACTCGGGCTGGTAGCAGGCTGGGCTGGGTATGCCGTCAGGCTGAGGGGGGTAAGGCTGCTCCTGCTCCAGGCTCTTGGGCCCAGGGATGGGGCTGCGGCCCCGGCTGGGGCTGCCTCTGCACAGGGCCCTGAGGGAGGAACTCCTCTCCGGGATGTCTGGCAGCAGCTCGGCCAGGAGCCTGTGGAGAATGCTGTTGTCGGGCAGGCTCACCGTCCTCCTCTTGGCCCGGATGTGTTCATAGATTTCCCTCAGGGCCTCGTCAAGCACCTCGTACATGGAGCTCTTACAGCAGGGCGGGGGCCTGCTTCGGGTGGAGGCGGCCTGCCTGTGGCTGTGGGGAGGGGAGCCCCTCTTCCTCCTGAACGGTACGGGACTCACCAGGAAGGCCAGCTTGGACTGGACTGAGTCTGGGTCCTTGGCTGCCAGCTGCTTGGCCCTCTAGTGTTTGAGCATGGTGATGAAGCGTGTATAGGAGGCAGGGCATCAGCCCTTACAGTTGCTGACCAGGTGTTTTTGGTGGTTATGGTTATGATGA